CACAGATGTGGTTTGTGATAGTGGTTTGTGTGGATTCCATTTAAAAATCATGCAAAATCAAGAAGATCTGAGTTTTAGAGCCATTAATGTAACATTGACCTCTTGGTGTAAAAATGGTCAGATCAATGTTAGGGTTCAGTGCATGTATGCAGACTGGAAATTATTTGATAGCGGGCGCAGGTGGATCCTATAAAACCACGAGGATTTCAAGAATCCGAAATGTACCTTTTCCCTCGTTTTCGCGCCACGGTGTCTCCAAAAAGCGTCTACTGTAGGATTGGCGCTCATTCTGTGCAATGACAGTCCTTTCAAGGGACTCCCCCCGAAAGAGATCACGAAAATCCATCAGGATCCGCATGTATCCGACTCTTATTTCTTCCTGTTATATTTTTAAAACATTTTGCAGGCTCGTAGAAAAGAGAGACGGTAGCGAACTATTCTCTGTAGTTACGCTCAAACACCTCGTGCCTACTCGGCTATTTCCGGTCTCCTGGCAACCAAGCAGGAGGCGAAGCTTCAATACGTCAGCTAAACGCGTCGGTACTTGCCCTGGTCCGTCTGTCGCGTTCTGGCGTCATACACTCAATTGTGCAGGCCGGAGACCTCCGCGCTCGGAGGAGGGCGGAGACGTTGCTCTCGGTGGGCGCTGCAGTTGCAAATTCGGAGCAGGATGTTGGAGCGTCGGCGGTGAGGCTGCTGTTGCGGGTTTTGCTGTTATGGGCCTTGAATCTTGCGGCGGTCAAGGAGGAGCTGCTCAGACCAGCTCCCCACCCGGACCCCCTCTTGGCTGGGAGGAGAAGGACCAGGGGGCTCTTCGCTTGCGCGCAGGGCTCGAGTTAAGCTGCTAGCGAACGAGAAAGGGAAAACGGAGCCGGTGGGGGGGTCGTGGCGTGGCTTGGCCCGGCACGCCCAGATCTGGACCGTGATGGAGCTGTTACGTAGAATTTTAGGCTTTATTGTTAGCATTTTAGTAAAGGTGATATTAGCATTTTATCATGGCATCCATGCCTCCTTCTGAAGTTTAGGAAACCATGTTTTTCCTTTGAGCCAAAGCCGTTTCCTTTGATGTGCAAAAGTAGGCTTTTAAGGGACCCTCAATCAAACAATAAGGCTGTATTCTGAAGTCCTTGATTAAAGTTGCAGGTGTTAAGAAAGAAACAAGCCCTGGTGGGGAAGGAGGAGATGCAACATATTTTAAGGGTGTCTGTCTTTTCTCACATTTATCGAATGTATGTAACCCTATATTAAGACTTGACCGCCCCCTTAATAAAGGCTCTTTTGCTTTGCCTGAAGTACTTGTGGTTCATATTGTCAGGGGGTTGGGGAGGGGGCAGAAAAGCCTTTGGCAAAGGTATTGGGTATTTCTCAAATTCAGGGACTAGCTTCTTTGCAGCTCCATGCCAGCTCGGGTGCCTCAGTTTTAGGGGCAACAGCAGGTCCCCAAATGGACGTTTGGGGCCTGTTATTTCTGCTGGTGTGCCATTGGCTGCCTGTTCCAGCGTTGCCTCTTTGCTCTTTTCAGTGAGCTAGGCCGAGTCAACAGCGGGTGTAGACCTACGTGCACCCGTTGAGTCTTGTAAATAAGCACTTTTATTGGTAGTACAGCCTCTTCAGGAATAAATTTGTTTACAGTTTTTGTCCAACTTGTTACTCCCCAGGTAGTTTGACCGATGCCCTACCATTCCTTGATGGCTCAGCAGGTGGCAGCACCTGGCCTGCCTTGCCTAGACCTGAAAGCTAAGCAGGGTTGGGCCTGGGTTAGGACTGGGGGCTATTGGTTTAATTGGAAATGTCCCAGAAGTAAGCAGTGGGAAACCATGTTTTAGTGGACCTGAAGGGTCATTATAGTACCCATACAGCAACGTCTGGGCTGCTTTACAGAGAAAAAGCACCCCTGGTGCTCCTAAAATATATGCGTTTGAGCAGAATTTCTTTTCCAGATGCTGATTTTTCAAATTGCAGGATAATCCAAGTGCAGTGAAATCATTGTTTTCTAAAATAACATTTCAGCAAATATTTTAATGAATTGTGTTGTTTGCTTATTCAAAATAAAAAGATGAATGAATAATTTGTCCTTATAATTACATTTGGTGAGAGAATTTAGATTCAAGTAACCAATTTAGGGTGTAATAATTACTGGAGTATCTCAATTTTTGGGGCCAACTCTGCAAAATGATACAGTATTAAAACAGGTTCCAAGAATTCTGAAAAATGCTTATACTGAGCAATGCTGTTACAGTTTAAATTATATTTCAAACTCTAAAATTCAGGATTTTTTTTTTATTGCCAGATGTTCATTTTAGAAATTAATGCTTTCCGTTTTTAAGCTTTGAATTTATTTACTCTTTGGAAGTTATATTCCACTCCAGTCCTTCTATGAGCAACAGTATTATTTCATACCAGGCATTATATTTCCTGGCATTAATATAATTATTTTTAAAATCTTGCATAATACTGCAGTAGTGTTTCTTTTATATTGTTTTCAGATACTGTTTGTATCTATTAATATATTTTACAGTTTTTCCTTGTTTGGCTCTTTTAAAGTTTATAATGTCTTTGTAATATACCCAGAGAACTCCAGCTATTGGATAGATAAAAATATTTTTAGTAAAATCTAGAATGACAAATTAGAGCATGAAATAAATTACACTTAAATTATAGTCCTTTCTGCACCATAAGTATAATTTGAGAGGTTTTTTCCATGTCCAATGTGTTCTTCTCCTTAATGGTCAACTAGATTTTGCTGTAAGCTGTTATTTTCTGCATGGCTTCACCTGAATGAACATTATAATTCTCTCTCCATTTAAAAGGTGTTACATTTCAGTGTACAGAGTTTTAAAATTATAAACTTGAAATTGTCAGTCATTGTATTTTGTATTTTAGGAGTTACTTAATAAAAATGTGCATTCACAGGGTGTTAATTTCCATATTAAGGATATGCTTGAGTTAGGTGTCAGTAGAATTAGATGTAATCTGGCACTGCATACTTTAGTTGTTGTTCAGTCGTTAAGTCAAGTCCGACTCTTCGTGACCCCATGAACCATATTGCGCCAGGCCTTCCTGTCCTTCACTGCCTCCCGGAGTTTGGTGAATTTCATGTTATGCTATCTGTGTTATGCTATCAGTGATGCTGTCTATAAAAAGGCATACCTTAGTAGCTCTATATAAATTTTAGTATATAGTTAGCTTGCAATTTATGCATTATGAACTAAGTGCTATGATGACTGTTTATACTAATATGAAAGATTGAAGGCAAAAGGAGAAGAGGACGGCAGAGGATGAGATGGTTAGATAGCATCACTGAAGCAATGAGCATGAAACTGAGC